TACTGACCAAAACAACTTATAAAAGGAAGAGTTTATTTGAGCTTATGGTTCCAAGAGAATTACAGTCTGTCTTGGTGGGGAGGCATGGCAACAGAGGGGGCTGGAGCAGGAGCAGCAGAAGCTAAGCTCTCACATCATCAAGCAGGCACAGGATGCAAGAGAGTGACTGGCGGTCCGACAAGGCTTAAGAACTCTCTAAGCCCACCCCCAGTGATTCCTCCAGGATAGCCACACCTTCTAAGACCTCCCAAAACAGCACCACCCATCTGGGGACAAAATGTCCAAATACTTGGAACCTATAGGGGACATTCTCATTCAAACCATGACATAATCCTTCAACATCCCACAGAGAGTTTAAATTCTCCACAAAGTTCAGTTTCTTCTGTTTCTTCCTCTCCCTTTGCCTACCGACATCTCTAAATTCCTTTGTGTTGTCTTTGCTGTTATTTCCTAGGACATATAAGCACCCGTATACACTTCAGGAAGTTATCTACCTAGGTGTTCAGAACCCCAAGTCACCCCCCATATTCTTCCCTTCTAAGTCCTATGCAATGTGCCTGCAGTTTCCATGTACAAATCTTTAAAAACTGATTCAAGGAGCTGGAGAGATGGCTCGGCAGTTAAGAACACTGGTTGTTCTTGCAGAAGACCGATAAACAAATCTTTAAAAACTGATTCAAGGAGCTGGGAGAGATGGCTCGGCAGTTAAGAACACTGACTGTTCTTGCAGAAGACCCTGGTTCGAATCCCAGCACCCACATGGCAGCTAACAACTGTCCATAACTCCAGTTCCAGGGGATCTGACGGCCTCTTCTGTCCTCTGTAGACATTGCATGACATGGGTGTACTTACTACATGCAGGCAGTACATGCATACACATAAAATAAAAATAATAAATAAAATTTGTTAAAAAATGATTCAAGAGGCATGCTGGAGAGGTGGCTCAGTGGTTAAGAGCATTGGCTGTTCTTGCAGAGGATCCTGGTACGATTCCCAGCACCCACATGGTGGCTAACAACCATCCATAACTCCAGTTCCAGGGGATCTAATGCCCTCTTCTGCCTCTGCAGGCATGGCATGATGGGTGCACTTACCTACATGCAGGGAATACACTCGTACACATAAAATAAAAATAAAATATTTTAAAAATGATTCAGTATTAGCCGACCATGGTGGTACACACCTTTAATCACAGCACTCAGGAGGTAAAGGCAAGCAGATCTCTGTGAGTTTGAGGCAAGCCTGGTCTCCATAGCGAACCCAGGCTAGCTGTGGCTACAGGAAGACCCTGTCTCAAAAAGACCGAAAAAAAAAAAAGATTCAGTATCATGTGCAACTTTATTATAGTCTTATTTTTTATTTCTTTTTTTTTCTTGTTTGTTTTGGTTTGGTTCTGTTTTGCTTTTCAGAACTCACCTTTTACTGCAATAAGAAAACCAGAAGCTATTCCAGCCTCAGGACTGTGGAATTTAGACCATTTTCACCTTCTAGATTCTTTAGGGTTTGTAGTGAACTACACCAAATAGCGCCTCATGAATTTGTTGTCTTTCTCTTGCTCACAGAACCCAGCCATTATCTCTGGAAACGAATCCATCCCAAACAAGAAGTACCAGTGACTCTGTTATGATTTCCTTGTTCTGGGCACTAGATGTCACACTAAGTAAAGTTTTAGAAGTTATCCTTCAAAGTAGGGTGTGGCAGTCTCTACCTTACCTCTGAAAAATGATAGCTTTTACATAAATAAAAGCTTGACTTTGAATTCCTCATAGAATGTAAGAAATAATTTTACTCACAAAAACTGGAAGAATTATTCATTAGAAAACATCATTTTCTAGCAGCCTGTTTTCACCTGTTTGAACAGGTGCATCTAGCTTACAAGCACACACAAAGGAAGTGTTTTCTTCTGGAAACAAAGTGATTTTTTTTCTACAGGTAGCTTATGCTCACCCATCTGTGATCATCTATGGGTTTTTTCCTTTTTTGTTTATTTAGTTTTTATTGTCTTTGTTCTTTTGGTTTTGTTTTGAAATAGGTTCTCCTACTCCCAGGCTTACCTTGAACTTGTTAGGTAGGTAAGGATGGCCTTGAACTCTCCTAGTCCTCTGACATCTTCCTCCCAAGTGCTGGGATCCTAACCATCTACCACCACACTTGCTGATGTTTTGTGTTCTGAGGTGGTTAAAACTGTTCTACCTGAAGAGCACCAGCTAGGACCCAAACCTGCCAGGTCAGAGAAGGTCAAAGAGGAGATAATGAATGTAAGGCATGTGGAGCCTGGAACAGTGTTAGGAAAGGGCATGCGGTCTGCTTCCTTGCAAGCCGTATGTAGAAAGGAACAGATGGTGCCTCCCAACCTCCGAGGCTCACTTACTCCTTGATTTTGACTCTCAGAAATCTATAGCTGAGCACTGTGGGCTGAGATTTGCATGTACAATCTCCTTTTGGAAAATTTATGGATTTTTAAAAACTATATTAAGGAATATGGATTCAATAGCTTAAATGTTTACTGAAACTTGGGAATTTCCATTGAAATGCTTGGAATTCATTGGAGACTAGAAAGAATTAATTCAAGTCAGATTTAGTGCTTATAATCAAGTCTTAAGCTTAGCAGTTTGTTTTTTCAAGTAACTCAGTAATTAGTTTGAGCTGTGTTTAATTATCTACCTGAGTGTAGACACATATTTCTATTTGTAATTAAAGTTGTAAATCATGTTTCTTAAGTTTCAGGGTTTTGTAGGTAATATATGGTAATGAATAAATCTCATTGGAAAGAATTAGTAACTATTGCTGCCTTGTGTTAAGGTTGCTTTGCTAAATTAGGCTATAATTGATAAAATACTACTCTTTTGCCTGTGAGTATGTGTAGCATGTTGGAGTGTGTGGGTGCGTGTGCATCTGTGTATGTGTACATCTAGAGGACAGAGGTTAGCCTTAGATGTCATTCCTCAGGATGCTGTCCACCTTGTTTTTTGAAATAGGGTGATTCACTTGGCCTGAAACTCACTGACTCAGCTAGATTGGCTGAGCAGCAAACCCCAGGGATCCTGCTGTCTGCCTCCCCAGCTCTGGGTCTACAAGTCCATGCTGCCATGCCAGCATCTCTTTCATTGGTTTTGGGGTTAAACTCAGCTTCTGACAACAAACACTTTAGTGACTTAGCTATCTCCCCTGCTGATAAAATTTTATCCTTTGGAGTTGAGATTCATCCTTTTTTTTTTCTTATCATTTTAACAGTGCTTTGTAACTCTGGCTAGTTTTGTTTCACTCTTGAATCCTGCTGTCACCTGGGACTTTGTCCCCATATATTTGCTATGTACCACTGCCGTATGTTTTAACAACCAGAGGTCCCTGGAGACATCTTTCCTTTCTCCTTGCATGCCCAGGCGGGTGATAGAGAGCACAGAACTCCAGGGGTCAGGAGGACAACAGTGGGCTATTCATGCCTTCATTCCTTCATCCTGTCTGGAAACTCAGGAAAGCCACAGGCCATCTTAGTGGGGGAATGGAGGGCTCTCTCAGAATGAAATGGGGACAAGACAGTCTTCTATCAAGTCAAGTGATGGGTTTTGTTCAGTGGGTGGGAAGGTCAGCTCTGTATTCACCAAGTACTTACTGGACCCCAGTTGTGCCTGGCTCTTAGAAATGCTGTCCCCACTCAGAAATGTAAGTATTGTCCCCATCTCAATAGAGTAAGACCAATGTCCTTCAGTCTGATTTGGACTGTTACTGATCAGAACAACTTATCAGGGCTGTTGTGTGACCTTTCTTTTTATTTAAGGCCATTAACTCAAGACCTTTCACATTGATACTTTGTGGGGAACTTGGGGTGTTTTTTGACTTTGATTTGGGGTTTTGTTTTGTTTTGTTTTAGAGTCAGGGTCTTTCTATATAGCCCAGACTAGTCTAGAAATTTGTTATATAGCCCAGGCTGGTCTCAAACTTTCAATCCTCCTGCCTTAGTCCCCTGTGTGTTGGGATTCCAGGCATAGGTCACCATGCCTGGCTTTGCAATGAGACACAGAAACACATTAAGGCTCAGCTGACTTCAATTCAGCCAGAGTTAACTGAATACCTGCAATGTGCTGGGACTGCAGAGAATTAAAAATGAATGACGTATCAGCCATAAGGCACTAACAAAAGTGAAGAGGACAAGACAGCCACTTATTCAAAGATACTGTCTTGAGTTTGGAATCTCAGGTTGAGAGACAGCCAGCGAGAGAGGCAGAAAATCCTTGTAAGAGGTCTGAGAGCACTTTCCTGCTTACGTCACTTGCTCTTGCAACAACCCAGTGAGGAAACTGAGTAACGGAGGAAGTAGGTCATTTCTCCAAGGTCACTCAGTCTGACCACAGCCAAGCTAAGCTCATCTTGGAGCCCCAAGTCAGCAAGCCTAAATGCCCTGTTGTTGAGTAATTTGTTCCATTCAGGGTGGACACCACAAAATCAGATGGTTGTGTGAGATTAGCCAGGGGTTATAGACTGGGCCTCTAATGTGTCTATGAACCATATTTCCCTGCAGGTCATGGGTTGACAGCAGTAAAGGAAAAGGCAGGGGCCACTCTACGGATTCATAGCATCAATTCTGGATCTCCTGAAGGGGCTTCACCTGATGCTGAAAATGGAGTCTTTGAAGGTCAGTGGTCTGTGGACTGTGGCATCTGGGGATTTTAATACACCATGTGTGCAATTACACAGTGGGAAAGAACCCAAGTTCAGATCAGCAAAATGCACTCTAACAGGGGTTTTCTCTTTCTCAGTGACAGATGTGGCTACAGATCAGGACCCTGCAAGAGGTGCCCCCATCTCTCCTCCATCAGGGTCAGGGTCCCGTGGTGTGCTGTCGGCCCTCACCAATGTGGTTCAGAACACGGTGAGTCCCTAGCAGGCCTCCTCTGTTTTTCCTTGTGGCTCTGTTCTTTTGATCTTTCCATCTGCCTGTGACCTAGATACATCAGAGGAAATACAGCCTTGCTTGTGACTTTGGATTATGACTTAGTCATGCTTTCTGCTGCAGAGTAGGTATAACCTTGGATCAGAAATAATAAGGACAAGATGAAATGTGGTCCATGTTTAAAAGAGGGGAGCTGTTTAGAAGGTGCATTTTTTTCAATCTGATTTAAGAGTGTCCTTTCCAACCACTGCAAGGACAGCCTTTGGGTAGGGGAGGGAGCTCTTTGGAAGAGCTGGAACAGCTGTTCTTCCTGGATCATCTGTCTCCCTTCACCCTCAATTTAAAAAAAAATTATAAAACCATTCAAATAAAAAAGGACTAGTGATAAGCCAGGAAGAGCTCAGAGACTTATCCCTTCCTTCCCCTAATTTCTACTCTCTCCTTCCTGTTGATCCTAAATATATCACTGCAAATCCCTCCTTCGTGCCTCTATTTACTCATTTTACTTTAAATTACGTTTTTTTAAAAATGGGCACACAACTGCCTTGCTCTTAAAGGAAGCTTGCTATTGACAGCAAAACACTGATGAATGTTGAAGAAAGCAAAACTCCCCGCCCCCCAAATGAGATGAGGGAGCTAGCTGGTCCTCAGGGCCAGGAAGAAAAGACCCAATCTGTTATCTAGAACAAACTAGCTTTTCTAGAAACATTTCTTGGTTTTTTTTTTTGTTTGTTTGCTTTTTGTCTTTTTTGAGACAGGATCTCCCTGTAGCACCAGCTGTCTTGGAACTCGCCCTGTAGGCCAGGCTGGCCTCAAATTCACAGAGATCCACCTGCCTCAGCCTCCCAAGTGCTGGGATTAAAGACACCATGTCTGACCATTATTTTTAAAAGGCATTTCTGGTCCTCACTTTGTATCAGGAGCCTCACCAGACATTGGACATAACCTTGCCATGTTGAGGCGACTAACAGAGGAATCCAACGTACTATAGGGAGAGGAGGGGGCTGTGGACCAGCATAGGAAGTTATCTCTAGACTCTGGTCAAAGTGTGCCAGGAATAGAGAACATGACTGTTCCTGTTCTTGCTACCTGAGGATCTCTAGACTGAGCAGGATGAAGGGGAGCACCAAGTGCATTTTAGGAGTCTCACAGCAACACAGTTCAAGGTTATCTGTGGGAGTGGAAGAAGGTCTCACAGTAACTCTGGTATAAAAATGAACTCATGACTTCTCTGAACTACTCCCTCTTTTTTTTTAACTTAACATTTCTGCCTCCCTCCCTCCCTGCCCCCCGCTCATTTCCCTTCCTTTCTTGTTGTATGTATGATGGCAGTGGTGTCTGTGCCATGACACACATCCAACTGTGGAGTTGGTTCTCTCCTTCTACCTTAGGTGGGTTCTGGGGATGGGAACTCAAGTCCCATTCTGTAGGATGTCCTTTCCCCACTGAGCCATCTCGCCAGACCTGAATGGTCATTCTTGAGTGCACCTTCAGCATCCTTGGCTCCCTTTCTGTGTTCTTTCCAACCTCCTTGGCCTCCTTCCACAGGTTCCACCCCAGCCCCAGACTCACACTTATGCAATAGTCCCTACATCCCTCCAGCTCTCACTTTATTCTTATAAGCTACTAAAGTAATTGGGGGTGAGGGGAGCAGAACATCAAAGCATGCAAAAGTACGAGATGCCCATAAGCCCGTTATCCCCTGTGTTAGTTGCTTTTATCGTGTCTGTGACAAAATACCTAACAGAAGTAAGGTAAGGAAGGGAGGATTGATTTTGCTCATGGTTCCAGAGGGTCCATGGTTGCATGGCCCCATGTGCTTGGACACAGCATGATGGTGGTAAGAGAGTGTAACAATGGGAAAGGCTCTTTAGCTTCTGGATGCCAGGAAGGAGAGAAAGAGGGACTGGAGAGCAGATAGAACCTTCAAGGTACACCCTCGGTGACCTCCTTCCTCCAATTAGACCCTGCCTCCAGAAGTTTCTAGAACCTCCTAAAATAGCACCATCAGCTGAGGACCAAGGCTACACATGAGCTTGTGGGGGGCATTATATATTGAATCTGTAACATCTTTTCAAAGGATGTGTTTTCACAGCATCTTCCATAGTATGATTGTTGACTGGATCCCAGATTCAAAAACATTCTAAATGCCCCAAAAGTCTGATCAAGTATATTCGTTCAGTATAGCTGAAGACTGCCATTTAAATAACTATGAAGATTGAAAAACATGCCTAGAGAATATAAAAATAAAATCTATCATTTTCACGTAAGGTAGGAAAGCTGCAGATGTGCACAGTATAGTTACAATGGTGCACTTGGAATGTATGTCCAGAAGTTTCAAAGCAACGTATAGCTCTGTCATTTGAGTAATTTATGTGAATCTTGGTTGTTTTCATTAAAAATTGTTTTGATCTATTTTTTGTTTTATGTGTATGAGCATAACCCCACAGAAGCCAGAAGAACGCATCAGATCCCCTGGAACTGAAGTTACTGATGGTTGTTAGCCCCCATGTGGGTGCTGGGAACCAAACTTAGGTCCTCTACAAGAGCAGCCAATACTCTTCACTGAGCCATCTCTCTAGCCCCTGTTTTAATTTTTATTAAAGGGAAAACTGTGGCTAGTAAAGGGATTTTCCAGAGTGGTAAGTGGATAATGAAACAGTTTTTGAAGCTGTAAGTACTTGGAAGGCAAGCTGTCTTGTTTCATTAATGTACTAATTATAGATGGTTCTTACTAGTTCCGAAAGTATGAAAGAGCCATCTAAAATAGCCTGAGGGGCCTCTACTCCAGGACTCTAGATTAAAGAATTCTCTGAATTAGCACAAGTATTTGACATTTTAATAAACCACCCCAAATACTTCTGTTATTTAGGCTAAAATTCTTTCAAGCAAAAACAGCAATTGGGTCATCTGTTAATTTTACATATTTGTTCATATGCAGAGTTGCTGACATGAATTCCTAATGTGCATTGGTTTTTCCCTAAGCATTCTTTTTTTGTCTTTTTGAGACAGGGTCTCCCTGTAGCCCCAGATGTCCTGAACTCACAGAGATCCTCCTGCCTCTGCCTCCCAAGTGCTGGGACTACAGGCGTGTCCCACCACGCCCGGCTCTAAGCATCATTTTTAAGTAACATCTCTGTTCTACAAATTATATAACATATGGTTTTCCCAGGAAAAGAAAATAAGAGTAAATAGATTGATGAATCTCCTGGTGTGAAAAACTCATGGCTTTCTATTGATTTTAATGTTTGAAGATAATGCTAGGCACCTGGGAGAGGCTGACTACTGCGAAACAGCAAACGTAAACATCTAATCGCATGCATTCTTCTCATCTGCAGGGCAAAAGCGTCTTAAGTGGTGGTCTTGATGCTTTGGAATTCATCGGCAAGAAAACCATGAATGTCCTTGCAGAAAGTGACCCGGGATTTAAGCGGACCAAGACACTGATGGAAAGAACCGTTTCCTTGTCCCAGGTTGGACTAGATCCTTTAGCAATTTTCTTCTTTCAGTTGATAAAGTCAATACATTCAAAATACACATTAAAATTTAAGTAGCACAAAAAAAGAAAAAAAAATAGTTTCTGATAGATGCTTTTCTAGACACTTAAATCCTCGTGGGCCACAGCCACTGCTAACAGCTCCTTATTTGTGCTGTTAGTTGTCAAGTGGATGTACTGGTGCATGAACATTTAGGTGTGGATGTTTCTATGTTGTGGTACATATAGATTCTACACACACATACACACATATATAGTCTACACACATACACACACACACACACACTTATTTAACCAGCATCCTGATTATACTCTGCTACTTTGCTTTATTTTCAGAATGATTTGTTGAAGAGTTCCCCATTTATGCCATTGTAGGTACCCTAGCTCTGCCACGTACTAGTTGCAGCGGCCTTATGGGCTTACTTTACTTCTCTATGCCTCTATTTACCCCTCTGTACACTGCAGATGACAATACCTACTGATAAATTTGTTGTGAGGATTACACTAGTTAGCACAGAACCTAATAAAGACATGTATGTGTGTGTATACATGTGTACAACTTTTCTTCTAGTTAAGGTGGTGATGGTGTAAGGATAGTGGGACTAATTCTAGAAACTGGGAAATTCTAGCTTCATTAGCTATAAAATGAAGAGGTGGCCTGAGTTAGTTTCCCAAATGTCCCTAATTTTTCTGTTGCCTTCACAATTTTTGTCACAGCTGCAGATTAAGTGATGTTAAAAGATAATACAGCTCCTAGATATGTGTCATCCAAGACCCACATCAGCCATCTGCAGGCTTCTCATCAAATATGCAAGCCACTGTGTCAGAAGACTTGGTACAGAATGTTCTGGAGCACACCCAAAGCACTACCGACTTTTCATTGACAGTGTTGACTGTACCTCCTTCCAAATAGGCACTTTTTTCATTCATTCATTTGTTATACAGATGGATTTTGAATGTTTATCCTGTGCCACAAACTATTTATCAGCAGCCAAAATGGCCCAAAATCCCTTTCCTTAGAGAGCTTTTGTTCGAAAGAGGAGAGACACGCAATAAACTTGTCTGGTATTTTAGATGAGTATTATAGGGGGAAGAAGATATAGGGTTGGCAGACAGTGATGAGGAATGTGGGAGGAAGGAGAGGGGTAAGCAATAAACGGGGTGATGAGGGGAACCTCATGGAAACAGTGATGTCTGAGAAAATGCTTAAAGGAGATGATAAGACTGACCTTGTAGGGGGCTAGAGAGATGGCGCAGCAGTTAAGAGCATGGGTTGCTCTTGCAGAGGACCCGGGTTCTATTCCCAGCACCTACATGGCAGCTAACAACTGTCCTTAACTCCAGTCCCAGAGGATCTGACGTCCTCTTCTGACCTCTGTGGGTGTTGGGCATTGCATGATATAGGCGCAACAATCTATATGCGGGCATAACACTCATACACATAAAATTAAAAAAATATATATATATATATATATAACCTGACCTTGTAGATACCTAGATGGAGCACATTCCAGTTAGACGGAGATGTTTCCATAAAGGCACCGAGGCAGTGTCTAGTATGAACAAGGACCAGCAGGATTCTACACATTGGGAGAGAATAAGCCAGGAGGAGCGTTGTCAAAGATGAGGACTGAATGACAATGGGGCACAGGTGTTGACAGATCATGGAGGGCATTTATAGGGAAAAGGCCTGTGTGAGAGAAAGTGGGAAGGGAGCCTCTAAAGCCTGGGGGAACCATCACAGCAGGTTTGGGTAAGACCCCAGTGAAGGAGGACAAGAGCAGAGGCCGGGCGGGAGTGTGCTAGACTGCTATGCAGCCTAAGGACACCAGCCAGAGCCATGGAGGGTCCCCCAGGTGAACATATCTAATGCTGATAGGATGACCTTAGCTCGCCAGGACTTGTTATGTACTTTATAAAGAACCAAGAGGGAGGAGTTGAATGGTTCCTTCCCAACACAAAGGAACAAAAAATGTCTGAGGTGATAAATATGCCTGATCTAACTGTTACTTATTATATACATGTATCGAATGATCACACTGTCTCTCCAATGTACAATTATTATGTGTCAGTTATAAACAAGTGTGCTGGAAAAGGAGTTTGCCATCTCTCTGGAACAGGCCTGCTTCAGTGTCCCTGCTACACCAGTAGTGGAAAGAAGTGTGGGATGTTGAAGGATGGACTCACTGCCTAGTACCCAGAGCCCTTGGTTACTAATGGTCCCCAGGAAGAGAAGGAAAGTCCACAGGGTTCCCTATCACCGTTCCCAGGAAACAGTTACTGTGACCTATACAAGAGATAAGTATGAGTCAGAAAAGTCTGGAGGCCCTAGCAGGTTATGATGAGTGGCTGGTTGTCATACAATTTGGAAACAGATCCAGATTTCCTGATGACGTGAGTATGGGCTTTGAGGTAAAAAGAATATCCAGGATGGCTCCAAGGTCTTCAGAGCTACTTGAAGGATGAATCTGCCATCAACAGCTTATTTCAAAAAGAAAGTCTGTTCCAGTCTTTCCTTATACACAAAAGCAATTGTATTAGTCAGTTTTCTGGCACTGTGACAAAATACCTGGGATAAACTAGTTAAAAGGAGAAAATGTTTGTTTGGGCTCATGGTTTCAGGAGTTTCAATCCATAGTCAGCTGGCTTCATTGCTTTGGGGCCTATGATGAAGTAGAACATCAAGTGAGGAACACAGGTGACAGCACCTGTTCATCTCATGGTGGCCATGAAGCACAGAAAATGAAAGATGAAGGGGCAGGCTCCTGACAGCCCCTGCAAGGGTACACTCCCAGCAACCTAACTTCCTCTCTCTAGGCTCCACCCTCTAAAGGTCGCATCACCTCCCACCTACAGGTTGCTACAGGTTGGCAACCGTGCCCTTAACACATGAGCCTTTGGTGGACACTTCAGACCCAAACTATGGCAGAGATATCAGGCTACAGAATGTTTGACTCTAAAGAGCTGAGTTGTTCACGCGCATGCTGCCTCAGTTTCTCCCAGGTTCTATCTCACCAACACAAGGAAGTGTAAGTTGAATAACAGGATAGCTCTCTGATTCCATGAGTTCTCCTTCCACAGTTTCTCTCTGTGGGGAATCCTTTCATGCCAGGATCACTCCTATTTAAAGCCATCTCCATCTGTTTGCAGAGGGAGCCTGAGAGCCCAGCCACCTTGTCCAGGGTATTATTCTTGGGCAGCTTTGATTTTGCTCCTCACTTTCAAGCGATGCTTTCCTTCCCTTCCCATTTCATCTCTCACTCTAACCCAAAGTACACAGACTCAGGGAAGTCAGTGTAGGAGTAAAAACCACTTCAGAGTCACTTTGTTAGTTTATGTTCCCAACACCAATGCCTCGAGGTCAGCAGGGCAGTTGAGTTTTATTGTGAGTGTTAAAACTTCCCAGTTGATAGTTTCATTGGGTTGTTTTGAAAACTAAAAGTCAGAGCCTGTACTAACTTCATCTTAAAGACAGACAGGAAAGAGAATTCTTTCCATGGCCTAATGGTTTCTTGACTATCAGCTTCAAGAGCCCAAAAGGAAAACAGAGCTGCTTGCTTTATTGACACACAATGAACACCAGCCTGTATTCTTGGATGATTTTCCCCTCTCGACCTTGTAGCATTGGCCAGTATATTTATGGGGCTCTCCACAGATATTAAAGGACTCTATAAACTTAATGACCCTGTAAACTTAATGAGAAATCGCATAAAAGATGCTTAGCATCAAAGGAGGCAAGTACAGATTTGGGAATAACTACAGACTTGTGCCATTTTTGTGGTCTTTGTATTTAAACAACAAAAAAATAACCCCAGAGGCTTAAGGGTGTAGCAGTGGTAGAATACTTGTCTAGCCTAGCTGGCACAAGGCCTTGGGTTGCATCCAAACACTGAAAAAATAGATGAAAAGAAGGGAGAGGAGAGAATGGAGCAAGAAAGGAAGGAAGGAAAGAAAGAAGAAAGGGAGGGAGGGAGAGAGAAAAGGAGGGAAGGAGGGAAAGACAGAAAGACATGTTATTAACATGAATAGAAACTCAGTCAGGTCTGTACCTCTAGAGCCCATCTATAATCTATAAGCTGATCTATATTCAGTAAACTTCTGATGGATGCATTGTGGGTTTACATTAATGACTTCTTTTCATTGAAGATGTCTAATACTTTATGGAAGTTTTCAAATAATGTCACAGAGAAAATTAGACCTGCTTCTTTCTGCTTTGAAGTCTGCTTCAGTGCTAAATTCTCAATACTGTCACAAAAGATTGGCCTTGCCCAGTGTGTTGAAAATCTGCTCAGTGTGGGAAATTTGACCATTATAGGAAATAAAGAGTTAACCACACATGTGGGAATGACTTCGATGAAAAGCAGATGAAGCTTTTGTGTGCAGCTCTCCAGCTTTATTCCAGGGCACAGAAGCCTGGCTATGTTTGGCTCTGCCAGACAAACGGGATGGAGTATTATAGAAGCATTATCTATAGCATCAATTAAAGAATCATTTTTGAGAAACTCAGAAGTGACCAAAATCTACACTTCCAGATATAGTGTCTGTCCTTCCTGTTGTCTCCATGTCCTGAACAGGAAGGTGGTATCTAAGTTTGTCTGGTGCATAAATATTGTGTGTTCCTGCAGATGCTAAGGGAGGCCAAGGAGAAGGAGAAGCAGAGACGGGCGCAGCAGCTCACGGCAGAGAGGACCGCACACTATGGGATGCTGTTTGATGAATATCAAGGTTTGTCACACCTGGAAGCTCTGGAAATTCTGTCCAATGAGAGTGAGAGCAAGGTATATCCACACGGTCATTCGAAATGACATGTTTTAATGTGTCTTCTTAAACATGAAAAAAGACTGGGAAAAGACACAGGCATATGTCCATTTTAGAGCCTCGTGACTATCACACAAGGTTACCCAGCCTCATGACCCTTCATGTTGAGTCCAGTTTCCTCCCTGTCCTGTGCCCTGCCCCAGAGGACCAGCACAGCAAGAGCCCTGCTACGTCTCCCCATGGTTTGAAAGGCTGTTCTAAAACTTGGCTGTCAGCCTCCTGACTCTTTACCTCCCTTTGGTGATGTCATACCCTTATCAGAGATCCCTTGCTAGCCTGTGCCTTTTATTCTACCAGTGAACACAGAGTGGCTGATCTTTTTCCCTTAAACTATGGGGTTTTAGTGTATATTATTTTGGATTGTAGTGTTATTTATTTGCCCACTTTTGTCAGAATATCTGGGCCATAAAGGACAGACTCATCCTTCTAAGAATGAAGGTTTTATTTAGACATGTTCCCATATAGAAACCTGTGAATCCCAGCCTACCAGACAAATGACCCTTGCATTCACATTCCCTCACATGACCCTAGCCAAAGTTGGTGGGATGGTGGGTGATTTTTTTTTCCTTAAAGGATCCCCAGTTTCTGGGTATGTGTGCATGTATCTTTATTTAACAAGCCTGGCTCCTACAGTCACTATTCAACTTACTTCCACTGTCACCTCATCTGCCATACAAGGCTGTGCTGTGAGGCAGTCAGCCCGACTCCACCTGGAGCCCTCAGGTCAGGTGTGCACTTCCTGCCTTCAGGCCCTGTGGGACAACCTGGTGACACAGGAGACAGGCAGGTCCTTGATCAAGAAATTCATCGTGGAAGGAGCCCTCAGAATGAGAAAGGAATTTCTTACACTTGCTAGGCTTTGCCTTCTCATGTGTGGATTTGAGGGGGGTATCAAGCCGTCCTTAGTGTCATAGTATGGAAAACTACCTAATAGACAGCCACGTGACACACATAGCAGACCGCCAAGGGCCAAGCGGGAGTGAGACCCTTCCCTCCCCCAGATCACAGTCCTTTGTGACTATCTGTGAATATTGCCTCTTTTTGTTGCCCATGAGTTTCAGTGAAAATCTTATGATTAAAACTGTTCAAGGATAGAGGGGGATATAGCTCAGATGGTTGAGTGCTTGCCTATCATGCATGAAGCCCTGCATTCAGTCCCCAGCACCATATAAAACTGGGCACTCCTGACACTCAGGAGGTGATGGCAGGGGAATCAAAAGTTCAAGGTCAGCCTCCTGTACATAGCAAGTTTGAGGTTAGCCTGGGCAACATGAGACCTTCTCTTAACAAAACGAAAGCAAATAAACAAAATAAAACCTGTTAAAGGATACTTTTCAAAAAATAAAACAAGACACAAAAAGAAAAAAATCACGACTCATGTTGACACGAAAACAATACTCATTAAGGAATTTGTTTAGTTCACTTATTAAATGAAGAAAACAGGCAGATGTTATCACTGGCTTTAAGGAAAATCCAGAGACTGTTGAACGTGCAGATAGACACAAGCCTGCTCTCTCCCCTGACAGAATTCACCTATTGTCTGTAGAGGACAGTTTTGCATTGCTGTCAGCTATCCACAGTTTACACAGTGGTAAAACTGCTCCCCTAGACTCAGAATCCCATAATCCAGTAAAAAAAAAATGCAATTTTCCACCAAAGCACAAAATTCTGCCTATGAAAACTGGGTCCAGAATCAGCCTGTATGTGATTAGACATCAATCTGTGGCTGTGAGTTTGGGCCCGTCTTATCAAAATCTGCTTGAAATGGCAATATTAATCAAATTTACCTCATAGGATTATGTAAGGAATTCAGTGGGATAATCCATGTGGAACTCGTAGTGGCTTGCCTAGTACAAAATGGGTGCTCAGTAAATGTTGCTGTTTTATGCATACCTATGTATGTGTAGACAATGTTGATAACATTCTGTTATATGCATTCTTGTATTGCATGTATTTGCTATTATTATTTAAAATATTACAGTAGAAGCATGGTCCCCTATCATGATAGTACAGAGATTCCATTCTAGTTGGTTCCATCACTAATCTCAGCTGTTAAACAGCCCCAGCCTCTCACACAATCCTCCTGCCTCAGCCTCTCAAGTGCAGAGACTTCAGGCATGAGCTGCCACCTCTAGCAAGTTTTATTTTAGCTCATGGTTTCAGAGGTCCCATCCATGATCTGTTGATCCTGTTGCATTGGGGCCAATGGTGAGGCAGCACAGCATACAAGAGGGGGTAGCAGAGCAACACCTGTCACTCAGGCTCAAGAGGCAAAAATAGAAAGAGGACAAGACCAAGGTCTCACAACCCCTTTCAAGAACAGATCTCCAGTGACTTGCAGCCCTCTCACTACCACCTGTAAAGGTTCCACCACCTTCCTAGCATCAGGCTAGGGACCACTTAAGTCTTTAACATAGGAGCATTTTGGGAACATCCAGATGTGTTTTTTCTTTGTACATCGCTTCCAGAAGCTTTGCTTTCTCCAGCCTGGAGATTTTTGTGATACTTACAGTAAGAAATGCAAAACTTTTTAACTTGGTAATGATAGGCACTGGGTGCTGTAATAAGCAGTCCTAAAAATATATACAAGTGCTGGTAGTACCCGCTTTTAGTCCCAGCACTCAGCAGGCAGAGGCAGAGGCAGGTGGATCTCTGTGAGATCAAGGTCAACCTGATCTACATAGTGAGTTCCAGACCAGCTGGGGCTACAAGGAGACCCTGTCTCGAAAACAAACAAAGCAAGCAAGCAAGAAAATACATTGTACGAAATTCTCAAATCAATAAAAATATTTTTAAAATATATATGTGAAAAAACAGTAGAAGTTATTTTTCACTCCTGTCACAGTCTAGAGCAGGGGAACCTGGTCAGCAAGCAGAGTCATGGTCTTAGAGATTTAGAAGCCAGGCTTTGTCCATCTGTGGCTTAGCTAGACACATCCTAACGTATATAGGTTCCAACAAGAATACAAGTAGAGGCCCTTACTGAGGCACAGATACAGCTAATTAAATGCAATGACTATTATAGAGATGTATCTTTCACACGGTGATTATAGTTAACAGTAACACACATATTTCAAAATTGCTGAAAAAGTAAATTTTAAATGTTTTCACCACAAAAATGGCATATGAGGTGATATGTCCATAGTTATGTTCACTAGCATGATACACTCATTCCTAGTATGTACATTCATCAGATCACGTCAATATATCCCATAAAAATAAGTAACCATTTGTCGATTAAAAGTTAACATGAGCCTGGTGGTACAGGCCTATAATCCCAGCTACTAGGGAGAGTGAGGCAGGAGGATTATAAATTCAAGAACTGCCTGGGCTACAGAGTGAGTTCAGTGCTGTATTAGTCAGGGTTCTCCAAAGAAACAGAACTGGGAAATGAGTGTGTGTGTGTGTGTGTGTGTGTGTGTGTGTGTGTGTGTGTGTGTATGTGTGTGTGTGTGTGTGTGTGTGTGTAGAGGTTTATCTCCTTAGCACCACAGGGACACTGAGTCCAAGGAGTCCAACAATGGCTGCACCACAATGAAGAGGCTGAGAATCCGTAGTCACTCAGTCCATGAGGCTGGATTTCTCAGTAGTCCCAATCTGGTGCTGAAGGTCTGACAAATTCCAAAAGATCAGCTAGTCTTCATTCTACAGCAGCAAGACGAACTCACCAGCAAGAGAGAGGGCAAGCAGCAAGAAGCCAGGCGGTCTCCTCTGCCTTGGCCTTTTATATTGGCTGCCATCAGAAGGTAGCACCCATGTTTAGGGTGTGTCTTCCGGCTTTAGATGATCCAGTTAAGAAGATCTCTCTCATTTCAGTTAATCCCAGATCCAGTCAACTTGACAGCTAGGATTAGTCATCACAAGTGCCAACCTGGGCAATCTAATAAGACCTTGTCTCAAAGTAAAAAATAAAATGAAGGGCCTGGAGAGATGGATCAGTGATCAGGAGCACTGGCTACTTTTGTAGAGGACAGGGGTCAGCTCCCAGTACCTGCTGGCTAACAATCATCCATAACTCTTGTTCCAGGGGATATGATGCCCTCTTATGGTTTTCTCTGGCATTACATGACACAGGTGCACGTACATACATACAGGCAAACACTTGTACACATAAAACAAAAAAAATTTTTTCTTATTTTAAGTAAAAAGAAGATTGGAGATAAAGCTCATAGGTAAAGCACTTGCCCATATATGCAGAAGGTCCTAGGTTCAATACCAAGCACTGGAAAAATGTTTTTAATTTAATTTAAATTTAAAAACAAGGGCCATTGAGATGGCTCAGCAGGTAAAGGCACTTGCCACCAATACTGATGACCTGAGTTTGATCCCTGGAACTCACCTGGTGGAAGGAGAGAACCTGTGACCTTCACACATGCACCTCCCCCAAATAAACAAATATTAAAAAATAAATAAATAAAAGCAAGTAGGAAATGAACTGAAATGTTTGTAGTTCAATGGAAAATTGCTTACCTAGCCCTGAGTTCTGTTCCCTAACACTACAAAAAAAAATAAGTAGTGAAATACAGAATGACTTGCTAAAATTTAACTTTCAATAAATATGAAATATTTAGGATAGATACTAATAAAATATTCATTGTGTATCTGAATTGCAAATTTAAGCACCTATCTGGTAACTTTACACATACCAAATATTTAAAGTCAAAGAACTTTTGAAACAAACTTAGAGAAAATCAGCTCTGTCTTCCTCCCTTTGCAAATAAACACTCATCTTGACCTGGGAAGATGAGTTCCCATTTGGAATTCTCAGACTCCTTGAATTTCCACTCTGTCCTCCAGCCTGCCCCTTCTGTCTTTCAGCCGCAAACAGTTGTGCCCAGATGAGCAAGGCACCCTAGGCCTGACTCTACCCACATACTCTACAGACAGTTACCTCTTGCCATTTCCTGGGCTCATGGTGATCTCCCCATAAGGAACACAGCTTGAAGAAGAACCCACCCAGTAAGCTGAAAAGTGTTCTAGAAGTGGGAGTATAGGCTCTGTTGGGTACATTTTGTTGGTCCTTTGAGTTTCCCTGTGTCCAAGTCTAAAAGTATTAGATATCACCATCCTCTAGTGCCTTGCAGTCTTCTGTATCCCATCAGTCTAGGGATGTACAGAGAGGACACTCCAACTTGAAAGTTGGAAGTATTGGGGCTGGAGAGATGATGGCTCAGAGATTAAGAGTGCTGACAATACAATCTCAGGTTTGGAGTTCAATCCCAGCACCCATATAACAAGCCAGGCATCCCACAAACACCTGTAACTCCAGCTCTAGAGGATCTTCTGCCCTCTTCTGGCCTGTGCCCACATACACATGTACATACTCTCACACAAACACATAGACACACACACATATACAGACATATACATAAAATAATAAATCTTTTAAACATTTTTATAATTATTTGAGAATTTCATACATACATACAATGTATTTTGAGATTAGTCACTCCCACTCCTCCCCCAACTCCTCCTAGATCCACCCCCCCACCCCTTCACTCCCTTGCAACTTTGTGTCATCCTTTTTTTTTTTAATAACCCACCAAGTCAAATTCATGTCGTCCACATGTGTGTTGGTCCATCTACTGGAGTGCAGTTGACCTACCAGGGGCCACACCCTTAAGGAAAACTGACTCCTCCCTCACCCCCCAGAAGTCATCAACTGTCAATGAGTCCTCAGCTATTGACATGCACCCCCACTGTCTCCATGCTGGAATGTTGGCTGACTAGATCTTTTGCAGGTCTTCTGCAGGCAACCACAACTGCTCTAAGCTCATGAGTGAAGCAGCTCTATCAGGATTGCTTCACTCTAGTCCTCCCCAGCCTCTGGCTCTTAAACTCTTTCTGCCCCCTCTTCCACAATCATCTCTGCACCTTGGGGATAGGGTGTGTGATATGGATGTCCCCCGTGTGGCTGAGCATTCCACAGACACTCATTCCCTGCACTTTGACCAATTGTGAGTTTCTGCATTAACCACTGTCCACTGAATAAAGAAACTTCTCTAATGAGGTCTGAGAGCTGCACTAATCTCTGGGTAAAGAGATAAAATTTGGAAGGCAGTCCAATACTATATTCATTTAAGCAGAATAATAGTAGTAGTTTCACCCCTGGGCCCTATGAGTTCCCCAACCATGGTTCTTTGCCAGATTTACCATCCCAGGCATGTTTTCCTCCTGTGGAGTGGGCCTTAAATCCAATCAGAAAAGCAATTGGTTACCACATAACATTCATGCCACTATTGTAGCCATGGGGCATATCTTGCCATGCTGGTTGGTCATTATTGTAGCTGTTTCTAACTTTTTCCCCAGCATCCCACATAGCACCTTATGATATATGAAAGGTACCCAGGAGGGAGGAAGCTTAGTGGTCAGTACCAACTTGATTTCTCTGTGTCCTATGACCAAAGTGAAGTATATGGTATCTTCTGTAATAGGATCTTACCATTAAGTTCTGGTGGACAGCCAAGAGCAATGGCAGTAGTCTGTATTGCTCTGAGGGTCTTTGGGATACCTCTGACCAACAACTTGAGGAAAGATATCCCACACCTGGCACTGGACTTTTTTGTAAGCAACCTATGGCTTCTGGGATATGCATTATCCCCTGTGTAGGTTAATGGCAATGGGCTCATCAGGATGGCTTGGCAGGTAAAAGTGATTGCCATACAAGACTGGCAGCTGAGTTTGACCCCTGGAATCCTGAAGAATGGTGGAAGGAGAGACCCAACTCCACAGTTGTCCTCTGACCCCTGCACGTGTATTATGGCATTTGCACACATACAATAATAAACAGATAAATAAATAGTAAATTTAAAAGAATTATTATCAATACTGTAGGACCAGTTTGACTCTGGGACAGCCACAAGCCTAGCAGTGTGATGTGTGATAAACATGAAAAGCTAATCATTTAAAAGGTATGTAAAGGCACTCTGTCCTTCCTTGACCTAGACAACACTCAGAGTAGTGCCAAGTAGTCAGCAGTTCATGAGTGTTTATTGCTGAACGTTCGATTATTTATTATTGAATCAATCTAAGATTCAGTGCACATCATTGTGGCAGAATGCAGTGAATCAGAGAAGAAACAGGCTTGTATAAGTGAAATGAAATTTCTCAGAAGGTCAAGGCCAGAAGCACTGCCTGGGAGCCATAGAACTGGGTATATTTGCTTCTATCTGCTGAACTCTGTGGCTAATGGATTGTGTGTTGCCATCCTGCTGAACTTCTTCCCAGAGCCTTGGGCAGAACCATTCAGGAAAGTGGAGTCTTTCAGTCCGGATACCCTGCCCGACTGTCTCCTAGCCTGGTATCTACTACCATAATGAATATTGAAACCTATTCCAAAGAGGACTGAGCTTCTCCACTGAAGCTTCCTCCAGAGCAAGAGTTTAACCCACAGAATGAAAAAAAATGAAAACCTTATGACTTTACAATCATATTTCACTTTTAATTTGATATTCCATGCCCTGGGACCATTTTGGAAATTCAAATTAATCTTCAGAGGGCGGTTGACCATCTGTACTTCATTTTGAAGTGTGCATAGAGGATACTGTCAAAAGAAGGGCTCTGAAGATGGTGCGCAGGGGTCATGTCAGTCTAAGCATCGCCTTCTCTGTGAAGTTCTCCCAGCACACTTCCTTAGCACTCCAAGGCAGCAAGATTGCTCTCTCCTTGGTGATTCTGCTGTGCCCTTCCCTCACATCCGTTCTGGCTGGCACTGGTTGACAGGCACCTCCTTCCTCTAGACTCTTTCCTTGCCTGAATAGCAGGATAGGAAAGTATATCTTGGACATTTTTGTAAATTCAGTATGTCATCTAATAAATATTTCTGTGGATATATACAATGCTTAGATATTTATTTTCCTATATTCCTGTATGCAGGAATGGAAAATTTATTAAGCATCCTTGTAAGTATTTTAAGAAAGCCCTTTTGCTTATTCTCAGAGTGACATTATAAGGTAGATGCAAATGATCTCCATTTCACAGATAAAGCTAAGGCATAGGAAAGTTCAATAAATTACCCAAGGCCAACAGTGAATACATGAGGAACTGGTATTTGAGCTATGTGGAAGCCACTAGAATAGACAAGGTACCATCACCATTTGTTTAGCATTTACAGTGCAAAGCTGTGCAATATGCATCATGTTTGTTACATCATTTACCACACAATGGATCACACTGAAGTATGGATCTTGCTTTAAGAATGAGACAATTGGTCATGTGTGATGGCTCATGCCTGCAACAATAGTCGGGAAGCTGAGGCAAGAGGATCTTGAATTCAAGCCCAACCTGAGCTGCATAATCAATTCAAGGCCAGTCTGAACTGTGTAGTGAGATGTAGCAGCAACGTAACAATGACAAAAGAATGGGAAGACCCAGGCCTGGGGAGCCGATGCTGTTAATAGACAGTAGAGCCAACCCTGTGTTGGCTCCCACCGTGACGCTCATCTGGGTCTTGGGAAAACTGGGAACAGCAGTATGTAAACACTACTCCTGAGAAGAAACAATGACAACTATGCCCACCTATTTCTTTTTCTTTTTTTTTTTTTTTCAGGTTCAGTCATTTTTAGCATCTCTGGATGGCGAGAAGCTAGAACTCCTAAAAAATGACCTCATTTCTATCAAAGACATCTTTGCAGCCAAAGAATTAGAGATTGAGGAGAATCCAGACGAACAAGGTAAAGGGAAACAACAAGCAGCCAGACCAACTGTGGCTTAGTCCTTAGGTGACTGTTACCGAGAAGCAGAGCCCTTTCAACAGGGTGGAATTTATTTAATTCGAGTATTCTTCCTGCCTGCTTCCAGAATGCCCCGTGTAGCTACTGTGGTTGCAGGAGCTGGTCAGGATGATTTATAGCACTCTCTTTCACTGAGCAGAAACTCTATCCTTTGGAGTGCCCAGCACAGTCCTGGCACATCACCAGCACACAATAAATGCAAAAAGTCAGACAGAGTACAGCGTGCTGAATCTGAATGACCACAGTTCACAAGGTGCCTTTCAACTCTGTCTGCATTCTGCATACCCTAGTTGTTTAATGTTATTAATGGCCGTGGTGGGCAAGCCTGGCAATGGATTTCTTTGCATAATTTTATCATTCCTTTCAATTAATTGTGAGCAAGAATTTGAGAGAGAAAGTTGGGATGTATTTGTGTGTCCCACACACCACCTGACAGAACAGTTCTGGGTTTTAGGAGGCTGGTAACCTTGTGGTGCAGTGCTTGTCCAGCATGTTTGAGACCCTGAGTTCATCCCCAGCACCACACAGAAGGTTCTGACCATAATTGTACCATTTTTTTTCCCAGTGCCCTAGGGTGTAGTGTTTCAGGCTGATGGTCACTGGAGTGACCCAGGTACATACTTTCCAGTAGTCTTCCCACTAGAAGGTGATCAGAACCCCAAGAAGACCAGAGCCTGTTTTTATGAGAAGCAAACTTCTCTTGAGATAGGAAAAGATAGTCTCAAAGTTGGATAAGCTTAATGACTACATTGGATCAGCCATTTGGGAGTGGAATGGAGGCATTTGCTCTGTACATGTTGGGTTTCTTACAAGTATGGGTAACAGATATCATGGTATAGGTGTTCCATGTAATCTATACTAAAGGGCAGAGCACCCATAGACACAATACTGCCTGCTCCTAGGATCACTGGAAACGCCCACTGGAAACCTTTTCACCACTTTCTTCAATGAGTTATAAGACCTTACTGAAACTCATATTTTCACAGTATCCTGGAGACGACGTTCATATTCCAAGGGGCTACTGTAAGGATCAGATTAAATACCATAATAAAAGCATACATTACAGTGCCTGGCATAGAGAACCGCTAGGAAGTGGGAAAGGTAGAACAAACCGCAGCTTTCATCTATTATTGCGCTTATCATTGTCCACAATGTAGTAGAGGGATAATATGCATTCATGCCATCAAGTCAAGGAAGGGTTTCATCCTCAGGCGTGTTATATACCTTTAATAAAAGCTCAAACATGAGTGCTCTCATGCTTTTAGCCTTGATGCCCAGAGAAAATTATTCTACACATTCATAAACTCTCGTTTAATCACTGTTTCCCTGCCCTTTAGCCCCTCATCCTGACCTTCTGTGCCTTCACTTTAATGAGATTTGTGCTCATCACATCGAAAAAAAATCAGTTATACTGAAGTATAAAAGGGGCCAGTAGCAAAGAGACAAAGGGGAATAATGTTTTTGAGCATTTGTATGTTTCTGCAGAAGTCACCAATGATGACAGATTTGTTGTTTTCCTAATGAAGAAACTAAAATGCTAGCTGTCAGAGGTGATGTGGCTCACATTGTGAACCCAAGATAAACTAATAGGTGCCCCTTTCCAGGACTAACCATCACCCCAAAACAATCAGGCTCTGAGCTAGACCTTGATCCTACTAGGTGTATCATTCAGAAAGGCTTTTAAAAGGATCCTAGGACCTAGGGAGATGACTCAGTTGGTAAAGTGCTTGCCTCCCGAGTCTGAGGACCTGAGTTCAAATCCCAAGAACCCATGTGAAAATCCAGGAGCAGTGACACACTCCTGTAATTTCAGTGATGGAGAAATGGGAGATGAAGACAGGCTCCTGGGCCAGCCTACTTGCGGAAGTTCTAGGCCACTGAGTGACCCTGTCTCAAACAAAATGTGAAAGGCCACGAGGATGAATCAAGGTTGTCCTCTGTTCTCCATACACGTGCTGTATGTGCATGTACCCATCCCCACAGATGAACCCATACCCATGTGGATACTAGTATACACACATACACACAAAGCATATACACACACACACATACATACACACACACACAGGACTCCAAATTCTCCCAAGTATCAGACAAATATCAGAGATATTATTGCCAAAATAGTACTGCATCACTCATTGGTGCTAGTCCTTAGAAAAGAAACTTGGTTCTGTACTGTTAAATAGAAAATGTTTCGACAGATGATATGTTCCCATTTTAGTACAAAGCTTCATTCAAGAAGATGAGGGTTTTTGGGTGTCACACACACACAAATTGAAGTGCTGAACAGCCTACTTAAGAAATAGTAAACTTAGCCGGGCATGGTGGCTCAGGCCTTTAATCCCAGCACTCCGAGGCGGAGGCAGGCAGATCTTTGTGAGTTCAAGGCCAGCCTGGTCTACATAGCGAGTTCCAGGACAGCTGGGGCTACAGGGAGGCCCTTTCTAAAAAAAAAAAAAAAAAAAAAAAGAAATAGTAAAGTTGTCTCTCTTTATATGACAAAACCCTATTATCTCCCAAAATATATCCATCTTCTCAAAGGGCCTCTCTAGATTATCAGAACACTTAATTTCATTAACTTAATTTAATAAATGAACATCATTTAGACGTTTAATAAGGCACTAGGAGAGAAGAACAGAGGTGTTGTCATTAAATCACCCAATCATGATGGAGTGTCACAGCTCCAGGAAAACTGTGGGGTTGCCCAAAAGCCACAGAAAGGAATCTTACAGTGAGGGGCCGGGGGAGGGTTGAACAGAAAAAGATCCAAGAGCAAAATTCTGGGAGAAACTAGAGCATTTGACAAAGATTTTTTTTTTCTTGTAAGTGCACTTATATTCCTAAAAGCCTCTGACAACTAAATAATTTATTTGGTACTCTCAGAAAGTGTAATAAACTGTCATCTTTTAGATAAATTTAGTATCGGGCTCCTGAGCATTGAATAACATTAGCTCAAGGTTTGCATGCTGTGTGTTCCCACACAGTGTAATCGTATCACACCACCATGGCCTCTAATTTGGTTTACTGTGGCTGTGAGGAGAGTTTTAATGGCCATTTTCCATTTTTACTGGCTTAGGGAAGATCTTCTTGGCAATGTATACAGACCAAGAGTTTCAGTAATAGATGGTCTTTGTTACAACACTTATTATCATCTGTTTTTATCTATTTCTAGATTTTTCCCCTAAAATATTTGCCAAAAATTATTGGTATATGTTTTGTAGAATTAATGCATATTTAAAAGCTGGAGCTTCCTAAGTACTTGCGTTCTAATTTAGTGTGGATTCTGGCCCAGTATGTTTAATCTTCCTATGTTTGTGTCTGTGTGGTACATAACAATTTACATAAATTTTCCATTTTTATAGAACAGTACTACATTGTTGTAGTTGGTTCTTATAATCACTAAAAAGGGAAGGATGGCGTTCCCTAAAACTAATCACTAAAAAGGGGGGTGTAGCTCAGTGATAGAAGGCTTGCTTAGCATGAATAAGGCCCTGGGTTTGATTCCTAGCACCCTCCAAGAATTAAAAAAAAAGGACAGAGGGTGAGTTTTATTATCCTCCTTTTACAGAGGGGAAATGGAAGCTGAAGAAGCCTTGTGACTGATTTCAGGCCACAGAGGCTGAATAGTGGGCTGGGGTGGAATTCATGCCGTTAGTCTCAGTCAGGGGCTCCTGACCTGCAGTGCTGCCTCACACAGCATGGAAAAGACCAGGCAGTATAGAAATGAGACCTTGTCAATGTGCTTTTAGTTCTCTCTCTCTCTCTCTCTCTCTCTCTCTCTCTCTCTCTCTCTCTCTCTCTCCCAGTTCTCCCTTTGTGTGGCTAATGAATTTCATTCCCAAATCCCCTTCAGGCACTACTTTGCTGGAAGCCTTCTTCATACTCCTTGGAGGACTGAATTTCTGTGAGAAAGCCGTTGGCCAGAGCACTTATCTCCCTGGGCTAATAGTTTTCCCCCTTGTGGCTTCACCGTGAGCAAAGACAGTGGTCTCTGTCTACCCCAGGGCCTCCTTGCTGTACCCTGATCTTACCAGGCACACACCCCACTGAACTTTGCTGTCACTGACAGGCTTATAGAAGGCTCCTCCACCTGACATCTGTGGCTCAGGGCTGTTCTCCTCAGGTCATTACTCAAATGGCACCTTCTCAGCTTCCTTCCTATCCTGACCTGTGCAGGCAGCCATGACAAACACCACAGGGCAGAGCACGTGTGTACCTTACAAACAGGAACTTATTCCTCACAGTTCAAGAGACTGGGATAGCCAAGGTCAAGAACTCGCAGATCTGGAGTCTAGTGAGGACCCATGGCTGGGTCGTAGGCAGAATCCTCTAGCTGTGCCTTCACTTGGGAGAAGAGCCCAGCCCATTCCCCGGGGATTCTTTAAAAGGGTACTCATCCATGAGGGTGCCATGTTCATGACCTAATTATGTCTCCCAAATCTCAGCTCCTAATACTGTCACTTTGGCAATTAGGTTTCAACATACGAATTTAGGGAAATGCAAGCACTTAGACCACAGCACCATCTATCTTAAAGTATAAGCTCCAGCCACCCCTGTTCATCTCCCTTGGTTTGCACTTCTCCATAAAATTCACCACTTGACATAAATGGTTTTGCTTATCTGTTTTGTTTATTAGCCTGTCTCCCTCACGAGAACACTGGAATTATAGATCATAATAAACTGATCAAAGCCAACATTTTGAAGGACACACGAGCTACCCTGGCTATCTTTATGAACTGCTCATTAACCATTTTGTCTATAAAACTGGAAACACATCTAGGCAAGTGTAAGGTTCAAGATTTCTCACACAGCGTAGTCTTCCCTGAAGGTGCTTACTGTCTGTGCTCACCAGCAGAAGCCTAGGTATCTCCTTCACAGAGGGTTTTGAGAGCATGCATTCAGGCCAGATTAATTATGCTTTTACACTCCCCCCCAAAGAAGGTAATAAACCCATTATGGAATCAATACTTTAGCACCTACCGGAAACTTTAAAAATGGCATTGTCTTGAAGATACAAATGAGAGACAGAGTGTTGCTTTTAAAGATCTCTGTTGCCTACCAGTGATATTAATTTTTATTTTATGATATATATTGAAATACTGAATATGGCATATATTTGTTGTATCACTATTATGATATATTAATATACTGCATATAAGATATATAATTATTGCATTCTTGTATATTATATAATATATCAATAGATTATCAATTCAAATAATATCATTTTTGGCACCAGGACTGAGTTAAATATCTCTCTGAGAAAATAGATCATTAAGAAGTATTGTAGTTATTCCCAGAATTTAAGAGATAGAAGCAGGTGGGTCTTTATGAGTTTGAGGCCAGCCTGGCTCTGCACTACAGTCCTCCCTCAGCAGGGCACTCTGGGCCTCATCAAGTAACAACAGAAAGCACCACCACACTGAGTCATAACTGCAGTTTGAGCCCAGGTCAGAGGCCTGACAAAGGTCATTCATTTGTTAGTCATTCTTTCAGCAAGTATCTATGGACCACCTATACCTGCAGCCCCAAGACAGACCAGGTCTCTCTGTACCCTACTGTTGCCTTGAGGCCAGCCTGGGGTGCCCCAGTGCCAGCTGCCTGCAGCCAGGCCTTGGCAGTCCTCTCCAGGCAGCATGCTGCCTCCCTGCTGTGCTCACCAATGGAAACCATGATGACATCCGTCTTCTGAGGCAGCCCCAGGGCACACTGCCATGGCCTCTCCTTAGTCTACCCTGAGTGCAGGCTGCAAAGTCAGAGGAACTGCCACATTCAGAAGAATGAAAAATAAATCACACGTCTTACTTCTGTCGTGTTCTGTTTCTAGGCTTAGAAGAAAAGGGAGAAGAATTTGCTAGAATGCTCACAGAACTTCTCTTTGAATTACATGTCGCTGCCACACCTGACAAACTCAATAAGGTCAGAAACAACTGATTGTGTGTCTTTGGTTTTAAAAGGGACTGGGGAAGTGGGATTTCAATTATAAGATTCCAGAGACCCACATGAAATAGAAAAAAATCCCCAAACCCCTGTGGCACAGCACAGGGAGGGGAGTCTGAGGTCAGTAATTAGGATTCGAGGAGCAACATAATGAATGTGGGGTGCGGAACAGTCAAGGCTGTCATGAGACCTGCATTCTGTAATTTTGCTAGTAATTACCTTGTCACCTTGACAAAGTCAGTTACCTTTTCATGGCAAAATAGAAAGTTCTGTCTGCGCAGTGGTTATCTTCAAGGTGACATGAGGGGGCAGCAGGGTACAGAGCCCCCATGGGGATTTTTCATATCCCACCACCACTTTATACCGCCAGTATTGGGTGCTATGGAGAGAGAACATTCCTTTCTCTCTCTTCCCACCTGGGCTGCTGTCCTCCCAGCATGTCTCAGTCCAGTTTCAGCATCCTAGGTTTCTCTAATAATACCACAGCACATTTTGCAAGTTAATACAAGGTCTTGCTGTAGGGTTTAGGAGAACACTGATCATCAATTACTCAAAGCTATGATGTGTTCCCTCCCCCTCTCCTTTCATCTTTTCCCTTTCCTTAGTGAGCAGTGCTTTACACAAGCACTCACTTATCAAAGTGGGTGAAGAAAGGGCAGAAAGACATAGCAAGTGGTGAGATGAGTAATTTCTTTATCTCCGTTAAGGGTCACTGATCTGGCAGGTCAGTGACGTGAACACAGTGGGATATTGCCTCATCCATCTCCCTGCAGCACCTGACACTTCTTGGTGCCTGGAGGGACTACACTGTTGTACCAACTTACTTACATGGTCAGGGCAGCCTTTATCCATAAAAGAGTACACACCAAAGACAGTTTTTTAGGGTATCTCTCTCCAAATCTGCTGGCTCTAACCTGCCACTCAACACTCTGACATGTTAAACTTTGACACATAAGCCTTAAGGTAAGTCATTTTAGCCTACCCTGAGTGACAAATTCTACTTAAACAAAGAGCCTATACAGTCTGATGAACCCTGGATGACTCTGCCTTTCTCTGAGTTCTGGGAGTAACAGATCAGATTGGGGAGACAGTTTCCTCAGCCACCACGTGATTTTGGAGGTCACCTGTGTTTAAGCTCAGGTCTTTCCAGAAGCCCCTTCTCTCCATAGAGGTTGGAAGGCCTGCCATGAATCAGAAGGAGCAGAGTCCTCTTTCTTCTTCCCAGAGACATACATTATTTTAGTGAGACAGTAAAGGTTTTAATGAAACCATCACATGATGAGGAAATTCTCTTTAACTGTGGCCCTCGCTAAATTTCTAGAAAAAATACAGTTCATCTTTTACAGGTGGTCATGAAACATGAAAAATCCGTTATAGAGTTTTACAGTGTATCTGTCATTTTTATTCTCATCATAATATCATTTTTAAATGTGTTTTTAAAAAGTCCTCAGGCCCGGTGATATGCTCTATATACTTTCTAGCCAATCCTCTTTTTCAAGTGCATATATTTTGCCAACGACAAGGTTGTCTTCTAAGGGGCTTAAGAAGTGTCGCTAGCACTTATTAAACATGCACAGATTTACCCTGGTGGTACAGAACAACTTGAGTTCTGATGCCGGTTGAAGTGACTTGGTTTTTTTTGTGCTGCATGGTAAATGCATTGTTTGGTTGGGGCCGTTGCAGGCCATGAAGAAAGCTCATGACTGGGTGGAAGAGGATCAAAGCATGGTGGCGGTAGATGTGGCCAAAGAGTCAGGGGCGGGAACTACGAAGGAAGAAAGGGAAGAGAAAACTGAAGCAACCAAAGAAGTGAAAACGGGAGAAAAAGGAACTAAGACCATAGAGGTAAATTCATTCTAGATTGCCCAACAAAGGGCATTCATCTTATGGTGATTTTATTAACAGTTTGGTTTCAAGTGAGGAGAGCATCCTTTCCATTTCTTTGTGTCCTACGTTCTAGAAACACAAGTAGGAATGGAACAGACACTATAGTTTCTCTATTCCAAGCCAGTTTATGGCTTAGCATAGATTTTGTAGCTTTTCTCCATAGCTTTATAATTATAATTTAAAGGTAGAAAGATCTTCAGAAACATAACTGATTTATCTTTAGAGTAAATCTCCATCTTATCAGCAAATGTGTTATTATAAAACATCTTTATGATCCATAACTAATGAGGTAATTGAAACTTTTTTCCCACAAACTTTCATTGCTGTGGCTTCTTTTCTGCAGTTTAATAAATCTATATGTGTGCTTTATGTCTTGCCTATGTTCAAAAAGTCATCTGCAGTTGAATTTTAATTTTAAACAAAGTAAGTTAGAGCAACCTAAGGGAAAATGTCTCTTAAGTCATTCATTCTCCCTGGCACACACCTTACTCATCACCTTCCTCTTGTGTGCCCAGCATTGCTCGGGCTATCGAGGACACAAGTTTGAATAGGTTTGTCATATCTGTGGGGACCTGACGTCACTTCCATTAAGGCAGCACACACACACACGCACACACAGTGTATGGTATATGTCTCTCTGTGAAGGCCAGAGGTTGAATTCCTATGTCCTCTTCAGTTGCTCTCAACCTTATTTTTTGAGACAGAGTCTCATGCTAAACCTGGAACTCACGAATTGGTTAGACTTGGTGACCAGTGAGCTCTAAGGATCTGCCTGTCTCCTTCCCGCAGTGCTGGGAATATAGGTGTGCACCACCACACCCAGCTTTTATGTGGTGCTAAGGACCTCAAGCTTGCTCAAAAGTACTGTACTGACTAAGCTACCTCCCCAGCTCTTCATATCATATGTAATATTACATTTTATATATTATTGTTCTAGTTTGCTTTTCTGTTGCCGTGATAAACATGATGACCAAAAGCAACTTTGAGGGGAAAGGGTTTATTCATCTTACATCATCAAGGGAAGTAAATCTAGAACTCAAGGTAGGAGCCTGGATTCAGGAACTGAAACAGAGACCATGGAAGAATAGTACTTATTGGCTTGCTTCCAGGTTCATGTTCAGTTACCTTTCTTACACAGCCCAGTCCCACCTGCCCAGGGATGGCATTGCCCTTGTGGGCTGGGCCCTGCTACATCAATTAGCAATCAAGAAAATGCTGCACAGACATAGCCACAGGCCGATTTGATGGAGGAAATTCCTCCATTGAGGTTCCTTCTGGGTGTGTTAAATTGATAACCAGGAGAGCCATCACAATTATTAGATTATGTATATTATTTTTTTAAGAATTGTCATCTAGGGGCTAGAGTGTAGCTTATCAAGACAGTGTGTGCGTAGCACTATGTCTTTTTCTTTAATGTCATAGGGATTTTTTTTGAAAAGCAACTGCTCCGTGAATAATTTTCTTGGATGTATTCTTTCAGGAAGTATACATGTTATCCATTGAAAGTCTGGCTGAAGTGACTGCCCGCTGTATTGAACAGCTTCATAAAGTTGCAGAATTAATTCTTCATGGACAAGAAGAGGAAAAACCCGCTCAGGACCAAGCAAAAGTTCTGATAAAGTAAATACCATTTTTATTCTTATTTTATATGTATGTATATTACTTGTGCCCACCTCTGCATATGCCATTCAAGTGCACACACATATACACCCTATGCCATTGAAGATTTAGATTTCAGGGCTGGAGAGATGGCTCTCGCAGAGAACCTGGGCTCGATTCCCAGCACCCACATGGTGGCTACAAACCATCCTTAACTCCAGTTCCAGGGGAATCCGAAGCTCTCTTCTGACCTCCGTGGCATTGCAGAACATGGGTGCACTCACATACATGCAGGCAATACACTCGTACTCATAAAATAATAAATAAATTATTTTTTTAAAGATTTAGATTTCATGTCAACTATTTCCATTATTCTATGGTTACCTTTTTAAAAATTTTATTTGTTTCTATTTTATATATGCATGTATTGCCTGTATGTATGTCAGTACACCTGTGTCATGCAATGCCTGTGGAGGACAGAAGAGGTCGTCGGATCCCCTGGAACTGGAGTTACTAGCTGCCATGTGGATGCTAGGATTCAAACCTGGGTTTTCTGTAAGAACAGTCGGTGTTCTTAACCACTGAGCCATCTCTCCAGCCCCCTTTATGGTCATCATAAGAAACAAGGGTTCCTTTAAGAAATGCATTACACAGCAAGAAGAATGATTAACTAAACAGCCTGGGAATTATTTATGAGGAGATTGAAGAGAAGACACAGTAAATCATTCAGAACTATGAAAGTGTTCATTTTACTAGATCAAAGTCTTAGAAGTATTGAACTTTTGGGGTAACTATACTTTCAACAAACTATACCAATATAAAGAGTAAACCTTAATGTACGCTCTCAGCGTCAAGAAAATAGGCAGACACACTCCACCCTCCCAGGGACTTATGCCAGCATTGCATACTAGCCACTAATGCCAGCCAGTTCATTGTGGACTGCATTTGTGTGCCTATATGTTGTAATTTATGTTCTTCAAGAAACAGTTGCTATTATTATTAGTTTACCTAGTGTTATAAAATAATGTGTATACATACATAGATCTGTATACACACACACACACACACACACACACGCACGCACGCACACACGGAAACAGTTGGTATGGAATCCTCTTGAAAATAACTGGTGTGGGGCTAAAAATAAATCATTAATTAACTTTTATGTGCTTGATTATGTATTGTGATATGAAAATTTAACACACATCCAAATACCCTCTCATTATTATTAAGACAAAGGAACCAAAATAGGAAACCCAGAAAATACATCAGGACACACATACATACTCACCTTCACGTCTTAGTTTTCACATTCACTTTGTCAGATAGCTGATTTTACTACATTCAACAGGGCAAATTAGGGAGAAAATTTCTAGTTGAAGTGACTTCCAGAAAGGCAAGAGTAGTGTCTGTGTGATGGCACTTTACTTGTAAAACTTTGTCATTTAGTCTAAATTGTTTTGTCTAGATACACAGAAGTCAAAGATATAATGGAATCATTCCCCTGTAATAATTGTAGAAAGATCACGTACCTTTTTCAACAGATGGAAGGGAAAGGAAAAGAGAAAACAGGAAAAGTTTGATATCCTGAGGCCACTGTCTAAGTACTGTTCTGTCTTTGATATACTGATTAAAAAGAGGAGGGCTGAGGTTCATAAGTTCCTGAATACCAGGACTGCACTCTTAGCACCTTTCTGATTCCCAATCTGGACTGTCCCAACCTCGCCAAGCCCCACCTCCCCCAACCGATCTGTTCAGTGAGTGCTCTTCCACCACCTGCCCAAGAACATACAACATGGCTCTCAGCTATCTTCTGGCCTTACCCATGATACTTTCTGCAGCAAGTTTCAGATAGATGGATGTGATGCCTCCAGATAGCTCATTAAACCTGAATACAGAGGGCTGGGAAGCAGTTGAATGGTAAAGTGTTCAGCTAGTATATGAGAGACCTGAGAGAGAGAGAGAGAGAGAGAGAGAGAGAGAGAGAGAGAGAGAACCTGACTTACAAGCTGAGTCAATAAAATATTTGCTGTGTAAGCATGAGGACCTGAGCTCAAGCCCCAACACCCATGCAAAAAGCTTGCTGTGGTGGCAGACACCTGTAGTCCCAGAGCCAGGGAGATGGAGACAAGATGATCCTTGGGGCTTGCTGGCCAGCCAATCTAGCTGAATCTATAAGTTCTAAATTCAGCAAGAGTTCCTGTGTCAAAAAACAAGACTCAAGAAGATTAAGGGAGACACCTGACATTGACTGTTGGTGCACACATGTGCACACACACATGCACACATACACACACACACACGCATGCACCCACACAATCATATACATTGTGTGTGCACACACAAGCATGTATGCCCACATCCACACACATATACAAAGAAAACTCTGAATATATAGGATAGATACGGTCCCTATCTATCAAAAAACTTTAACTTCAGTGAATCCTTGAACATAAAAGATTCTTCATATGGAGCTATGGTTTTTCTAGTACTATTTTTTAATTTTTTATTTGTTAGTTTTATTTTATGAATACAAGTGTCTTGCCTGCATACATGTAAGTGTGTCATACAATGCCTGCAGAAGAGGGTGTTGTGTTCCCTCTAACTGGAGTTTCATATGGTTGCTAGCTACCATGTGGGTGCTGGGAACTGAACCCAGGTCCTCTGCAAGAGCAGCCAGTGCTTTTAACCACTGATCCATCTCCCCAGCCACTCTAATAACATTTCAATTACTATTTATGAAAGCTGTGTGCACTAACTGCTAAAAGATCAGACTGAACCCACATCGTTCAGAAATTAGATTGTTTTCAGTTTTTTCATCATTTATAGTGTTAGGATAAACATTATTCTGATTTTGTCTTCTGAAAGACTTAGAAGTAGAAAGGCCAAAATAAATTTGGTCTTTCAGTGTCTGAAAACATATTCTACAGAATTCTTATTTTGAGGCACATAGTAAAAATATAAGAAAAATATAAAGAGAAGCTGGATGTGGCAGAGCATGCCCATAATCCAAGCTCTTAGCTGGCTGAGGCAGGAGGGTTTCCAGTTGTTCAAGGCAGGCTAGCCTGGGCCACCTTGCCTCCAAAAGAAAGAAGGGTAGAGTGCTGGCCTAGCATATGCAAGACCCTGGGGTTTGATCCTCAGCACCAAAAATGTGTGTGTGTGTGTGTGTGTGTGTGTGTGTGTGTGTGTGTGACTTATTACTGTGTGTCTTATACAGGTTCCTTAACATGGGCCTAGCTGTCACTTTGTCCATCTATACAGAATGTGAATAAGTGTCTTTGTTAGTGTGTATTCATTATTTTAAAATGACCTTAAAGCTGGAGGGAGGAAAGCCACCTGGCCCAGGTTTCTGCTGCTATGGATATGAAGTTCAAGCTTGATGTTTCCCTGCACAACAGTTTTGATTCTAAAAAGAGGGCAAATTAATTAGATGCTTATTCTTTAATTAAACCTGCAGGGAAAAGCAGAATTGATTAAACTGTGGCTGTGAATCACAGAAGATGGTTGAAGAAAACTGCCCATTTCTGTAGAGCACCCTGAAACTCAGTGCTCTCCTTTTAGATGAAATACTGGATTAGTCTCAATAATCATCATGAGAATTAAGTTATTTTACTTTATTGAAAACCCGCAAACTTCTTTTTTCTCATTTCAGATTGACTACAGCAATGTGCAAAGAAGTAGCCTCCTTATCAAAGAAGTTTACAAATTCTTTAACCACTGTTGGGGTAAGATTACAATATGAACCATTTTTTCACCTTTTGGGGGAAGCAAGACTCCAGGGAGAAATCAGAGGTGCGACACCTTTTGGGACAGCTCTGTAAGCAGAGCCGTAGCATGCTGCTTGCTAAAATCAGACTGAGATCACCCCACTAACAACCATCAACTTAGGGCTCTTTTCTGACTGGGCTGTAAACTCAAGTCTGCTGTCTCAGACATCTGAGCTGTTGAGTGAATAGTCAGACCTTTATTTATTTATCGAAAGAAATAGTTTCAAATGAAGATTTCTTTCCATTACTTATTAGCTATAATTGCACAATTTAAGACTATTAGAATTACTAAGTTTGAATATTCTCATTCACTATTTCCCTCTATTTTATAAGCCGCATAAGTCATATCAACAGGAAAAAAAAATGTTACCAATTAGCATCTAAGTGTTTCTGTTCTCAAGATCACTTTGAAAAGCTCAGCATTTATCTGAATGCATGGCTTTGGATGATATATCTAGGTGTGCCCTCTCTGTGCCAGGCATTCCTTATGTGCTGGGGAGATGGCTTAGTGGATAAAGTACTTGCTGCACAAACATGAGATTCTAAGTTCAAATCCTTAGAACCCACATAAAAATCCAGGCAGCATGGTGACCCACCTGAAGTCCCAGCGCTCAGGAGGGAGACTTGGGATCCCTGGACAAGCAGAAGTAGCTGAATCACAAGCCCTGGTTAAAGCAGGAGATGCTGCCTTCGTAAATAAAGTGGAGAGTGATTGAGGAAGATACTCAGCGTCAACCTTTGGTCTCCACATACATATACCTATAGCTGAACACACGTGAAAAACATGTATACACAAACACAGGCACACTACACATGCACGCACATGCACACAAAGAAAGAAATCAGTCACATTATATACAAGTGGGAAGTATTTCCCTTTAACCTTCCTACTTTTCTTTTAAAGCCCCTGGATGCAAGGTCTGATTCTCTTTCTTTGAAAGTCAGGAATCAGGTTTTAGTTGGGGTATTTGTGATTGCAAGTGTATTCGTTTTCTAGGACTGCCTGGAATTAAGGTCATGTTTTCTCTGAAGCCTCTAGGGGTGGGTTCTAAATGATTCTGATAAAAGGGGCTATGAAGGCAGTGAAGGACTGTAAACAGCTTTGGGACCAGCTCCAGAGCACAGAGACACTTTTTCTGAAATGTTGCTAATGTGCCTCTCCATTCAAATTCCTCTTTTCTGGGTGAGAAGGTTGGTAAAGATCATCAACATGTGTCAGATGGTCAGATGTCTACTTTGGGGTCACTCAGCAATGACTGGGGACCAGATCATAACATGCAAACCCCACCTGGTTGCTAGGGTACAGCTCCCTTCCCCTCCAGGCCAAGCACACTTCTCAAAAAGTGAGAAATGATTGTGGACCTGACTGTCACCCCCAAAAGATGTCTGTCTCCTACACTTCTGTAAGTGACTCAGTGAATAAAAGATGAACTACACATCAGGAATCCATTCTGCTATTCAAGAATCTGGATTTCTTCTTTTATAAAGTAGCAGTGTTTGTACTTGTGTAAGTTTAGGTGATAGAGCTTTGCTGTAGTAAGCAGAGTGATGGGGAGATGAAAGCCCATTGATCTGACAGTCTGGTTGAAATGCATTTGTGTGTGTAGGCATTTGTTGACCATGTTACTTGATGATCATGGGCTTAGGAGGGAACTCTAGGTTTACAGAGCAGTAAGAGGGCTGGTCCCAGCAATTCAGGTTCCTAGCACTCTGCTGTTCCATCTCCTGATCTCTACAGTTCGCTGGCTGAAGAACCGGAGTCCCAGAGGAGTGACATGATTCACCCCACCTCTCCATTGATTGCTTAACTCCCTACCAGCAGCCTATCAGATGCATCAGACAGATAACCAATTGTTTGGTGCTCTGTGATTGTCTAAGGAAGAGAGAGTGTGTGTTGTGCTTTCTATGATTTATGTTAAACAGCCTTTTTCCATGAGAAGGTAGTACTCGTGGTATTATTTTTCTTTTGCCATATTGTATTCTAGTACAGTGCTTTCTACCTTAAGGTACACACCAGACACCTGGACATCTTGTTAAAATTCAGATTCTCATCCAGAGATTCTGCATTGTTAACAAACCCTCAGGTGACCAGACTATTCCTGAGCCTCAGTCTACTTTTATGTAGCAAGGCTCTGGTAGATGGGTGTATACTTATAATTGTGTACATATGCAAACGTATATAAGCATTTGCATGCACAAAGTCAGAAAATGTGCATTATCATTTTGGAGGAGGTGAAAGCTAGATCTAAGATAGCACTTCCTAGAATACCAACACAGCAACAACGCCCCCGCCTTGTGTTATGATGAATTATTTGCATCAGTCATCATTTCTGTTCTCCAAAACAACCATCATTCATAACTTGAAGCTAATGAGTGTGTATTGCTCTCCAGACTCTGTTTAAATTGCTCACACATCTCATTGATTCTGAAAACCAGTGTCATTTTATTGCCCTCATTTTGATTCTGTCTTAGAGGTTTATTGATAATCACATAAACATGAAAGCAAATACCTTAATGGATTTTCTGGTTACTTACTAAAATGACTGGGTTTTTAAAGGGTTTTTTTTTTCTCTCCCAAGACACCATTGTGGTTTCCTCAGGAGGGTACTATCTTAGGGAGAATATTGTCAATGAAGGCCAGAGGCATCTCCACAAAGTTGTATTTAATTCATATGCATCTGTTTGCCACTGCTCTTGCAGGTACAATAAGGGAAACCAGCCTCCTAAGATTCCCCTCTTTTTTCAGTCATTCAGATGATTTACTGTCATAAGAGTGGATTGAGAATTTTAGATAGGGAAGCCTGCTCACCTACTGCCAATAATATAAGTGAACGTAATGATCCACCCTCCTTTTTGAGTGCCTGTTTTATGTGAGGATTTCTTTTCTATGCTTTGTGTTTTTCAAACTTGGATCTACAAACCTGTTGCAAGTTATATTTAAGAATGTTTTCATCTTGCTGCTTTTTTGGAAAATACCTTATAACCAAGTTCTCTTGCCTACATAAAAAGAAAGAAAAGACCACCAGAATAAATGAGTGAAGGACTTAACCTGCCTGCAAAATTTGAGGACCAAAAGGTAAAATAAGAAAAAAAAGAAAAAAAAAAAAAAAGAAAGAAAGCACAGGGGGCTAGAGAGATGGCCCAGCTGTTAACAGCATGTGCTTCTCTTGCAGAGGACCTGAATTTGGTTCCCAACACTCACATAAGGTGAGTTATAACTCCAGCTCCAGGGAATCTGATACCCTCTTCTGGCCTCTGAATATACCTGCACTCACATGCACATACTTCCACACAGGCACACACACATACACAAAATTAAAAATAAATTAAAAATTAAAAGTTAAAAAAAAAAAGAAAAGAAGCTCGGTAAGCTGGATAGATACCTTAATGAAAATGTACAGGGTGGCATGATGGCATATGTCTGTAATCCCAGCCTTAGGAAGACTGAAGCAGGGGGATCATGAGTTTGAGGCCAGGCTGAGCTACATAAAGGCCAAAAGGACTTAAAATTTTTGGATGTATTTATTTTTGTTTTATGTGTATGAATGTATTGTCTGCATGTATGTGATGCCAAAAGAGGGAAGAAGAGGGCACTGGAGCCCCAGAACTGTAGTTATGGATGGTTGTTAGCCACCATGTATGTACTGGGAACCAAACCTGGGTCCTCTGCAAGAGTAACCAGTGCTCCTAACTGCTGAGCCATCTCTCCAGCCCCTAAAATGACTTTTTAAAAAAACTGTTTGAATACAAAATGAAAATCATGATGAACTAATTATTAACATTCTAAATTAAAGACAGACTCCAATCTTACGCTGTCACGATCAGCCTGAACTTACCCTACTCCCATATTGGGTACAAACTCCAGTCTAAAAGATCTGAGCTTACGTGGCCTCATGCAAGTTGCTCAGCTTTCCAGATCCCCATTTTTTTTTCATCTAGCAGCTGGAATTATAATGGTATCAATCCACCTGCTAGGATTGCTGGTAGAATTAAATGAGATCACATAAGGGAAAGTAAACACGAAGCCTGGTCTACAGTAAGTACTCTGCTCCTCTCCTCCCCCTCTAAGGCTTGCCTCTACAAAGCAGCTGTCTTAAGTTTGATGTGCTAAGCCTGATGGTATGAGTCCCTAATCTGTCAGTTTCATACTTTTGATTCCACAGAGCAACAAGAAGGCTGAGGTCCTTAACCCCATGATCAATAGTGTGTTTTTAGAGGTAAGTACTGCCCAGAGAGCAAGTGCTCTGAATCAAAGCAAATGTTCTCTCTCTCTCTCTCTCTCTCTCCTCCCAGGCAGCAAGTATTACTGCGATTCTGAATCTTATCAACAGTCTTTTCTGGAGTGCATTTGTGCAGCTTAGTTAGCCAGCTGTAAGCCCTCCAGTGGAACAATGCCTAATTTTCAAGAATCCTTGATTATAAAAGGAAACGCTAAGCTTGCGCGTTTTTTTCTGCCACCGTCTCCTCCAGCAGTAGATTTCTGCTGCCAAGTTTGACACTAGATTTAACGCTATGATTATTGGCTACAATGAGGGATTATTGCCCACTGGTGCATTTCATAAAAATGGGCATTTCCCTCCATTCATAATAACCTTTGGTTTAGCTGGGCCTGAGCGCCAGCACTAGCAAAACTGCCACCAAATGTCTAGGCTCTGCCCATTCAGTGCCAAAGGTACCATCCCTTATGATTGCTCATTTCCCATCCTGCCTGGTCACCAGAACTGCATCAATAGCTGTACAGGTGTGAAACAGTCCCAGAACTGCTGTGGCTCTTCCAAACAAAACCAGTGATGCCAGAGAAAAAAAACCAGGAAGCCTTCTTGGTCTTGGAGCATGGATACTGTGTTCTACCTGTGGTTGACAAAAAATACTCTTCCCTTAGTGACCAGACTATGTAAGACACATGCACATGGATAGCCACAGAGCTGCCAACCAAAGTCATAAGATATTCACAAGCAGACACCAGATGTAGGCAATGTATACACTGTCCTTTCCACTCTTAGGTATCAATGGGAAAATGTGCAAACTACAAAACTTCAGGAATGCTACCTAAGAATTCACAGCAGTGTTTCTGGGAATTGTGCCTTGTGGTGACATAAAAAAATTAACAGTCACGGCACTGAGTGTTACTATTTAGGACACAGCCACACAATGCAATAGAGTTGACTAGAAAGGACAGAAGTTGTAGGGACAAATCAGAGGGACAGACACAGCTAAGAGGAAACCCCGGCAATCAGAGCAGAATATAGTATAAGAAAACCGCTCCCTTAGAAAGCCAGGCATGATGTGGTACACCCAGAACTTGACACTGAGGAGAATGGTGAGTTCAAGGTGAGCGTAAGCTATATAGTGAGACTCTGTTTCAAAGCTCTCCCCTCTTAAATCACTGCCCTGGCCACCCAGGAAATTTACACACACACACACTTTTGATATTTTTGAGACAGGGTTTCCTTGTAGCTCCAGCTGGCCTAGAACTTTCTATGTAGACCAGGCTAGACTTGAACTCACAGAGATCTGCCCACCTCTGCCTCCGAAGTGCTAGGATTAAAGACATTTGCTACCATGCCCAGCCTAGAAACTAATATTAACACATTCATTTATCATGTTCTTTATCACAAATATGAGATCCAGTATTTATTCATTCCCCAGTAGAAGTGTACATGTTTTAGATACTCTAAACTTTATTATTTATTTACTAGTTTGTTTTGAAGTTCTGAGAATCAAACCTAGGGCCTCACACATTCTAAGCAAGCACTGTATCCTGGATGCTGTTTCTGTTCAGTAGCACCACAGAACACAAATAATAATGTCAGCTGTCCCAAACCAAGCAAATGGTACCAACATGGGTGGATGAAGTGTTGAAGGATCTTCCAGCCTGTTTATACAGTAGAATCTGCAGGGTACTTTATGTTGAACTTTCTGTTTATTCAGCTGTAGGTTAGGCCCAAACCTCTTTTGTCCTGTGATTCTGGGAAAAGGATGGTAAAACTAGATATACTGAGCCAGGTGTGGTGGCACACGCCTTTAATCCCAGCATTTGGGAGGCAGAGGCAGGCTGTGAGCTCTGTGAGTGCAAGGCCAGCCTGGTCTACATGGTGAGTTCCAGGCCGGCTGGGGCTACTGGGAGGCCCTGTATCAAAAACAAACAAACAAAAAAACAAAAAACTAGACATACTAGATCATGGCTATATACACATACATATACACACTCAGGTACCTTAAGAGCCCATGGGAATGATTTGCTTCATTTTGAATGAACTTTCTCTGTTAGTTTATATAATTAAGAGTTGGACATTTGGACATACTCCATCCAAAAGATTGTCTTACATTTGCTGCTAGCCCAAGCAAGCATGATAAGAATTTCATAATGTTCCAATTTGATAGTGTTCAAATAAAAGGGAATATGGTTAGAATCATGGAAACTCAACTACAAAGATCTCAACTCCATTTCTCCCTCTTGCAGGGCTGCAATAGTACGACCTATGTCCAGGATGCCCTCCAGCTGCTCCTCCCCGTGCTGCAGGTCTCCCATATCCAGACGAGCTGCTCCAAAGCACAGCTGTGACCTGACCAGGCTCCATTTAGCTCAATGACAGGTCACATTGTGCTGCTGTATACCATTTAAGGGCAATATCCTTGACATAATTGTCCAGACCACCCATTTGAGGACACTACAACCAATTTTACACAGTTTTGCAAGTACAAAGAGAGCTATCATTTTTCTTAATGTATATGGTTGTTTATCAATAATTCTTTTCTTTATGTTAATTTAAACATACTTGTTATATTGAAATTTTCCTTTCATTTGTAATTCATTCACAAATGTCTGTTTTCCTAGTCAAGCATGTCGTATTGAGAAATTCATAGGGAGACCTTAGATTTTTGTTTATCATTTAAGTTTCTACCTTTGACGGTCCCATTCTTATAAAATATTGCTTTAAATCAACTCTTAGACTGAGCTTTGTTTTGTTGCATAAATGTCATAAACAAAACACTACTTATTTTACTAATTATGAAAAAAAGGGGACATAAATATTTCTTTGTAATCATTCATTTTGTGACAAGATTTATTGAGCACCAACTGTTTACAATAAAGGAATATGATCTCACTCCAGTAGAGACATATTTTGAATGACCAATTATAATAATCCATAAAGTACTTTAAGATACTAATACATTTTTATACATCTTTAAACACTTGGAGAATAAAGTAAGTTGGTGCTTATTTCAAATGTGCCTTACCCTTCAATTTATCACATTTTTTCTAATATCCTTGAACCTTTTTATCCTAAATTTTACCCATGGGATAAAAATACATTTGAAAAGAGTTATGATAGAGTCTTTTTTTTCCTTGAGACAGGGCCTCACTGTGTAGCCCTGACTGGCCTGGAACTCTATATAGACCAGGCTGGCCTTGAACTCAAAGAGATCTACCTGCCTCTGCCTCCCCAGAGTTGGTTTTAAAGGTGTGTGCCATCACCCCTGCCTGAAAGAGTATTTTTGTTTACAGTGCACGATGGCAAAGTTACAAAGCTTGAAAGTATTTCAGTAGAAAATTAAAGAATTTTTAGCACAATAGAATGCTACACTGACCACACTTACTGTAGTAGCAAAGGGCAGAAAATATTGATGTAGGTTGACTAACCAGTATATTGATCCAGGGAGATTGCCCCAGGACCTCACAGCTAGGAGCAGCATTGACACTGGGCTCCTCTGAGCCACACCTGTTCATCACAGGTAAGGATTCTGTGATGTGCTTCTGTTATAGAACTCCACTGACATCCTTACCAGCAGTGCCCAGAAGTGTCTTGCCCAGTGCCTATCTCTGAGGCAGATGATGCATGTAGTCTTGCAAGGCAGAAAATCTCTTACATTTGCTTTTCTTCCCATGAAAGAGTTGACTCCCCTGTTCCCTACAGGCTGAGTAGGGATAGTCTAATATCATCCTGTTTCTCATTAGCCTTTTGTGTGTCCGTGTTCTGTGTTTCATCTGGATGTCTCCCGAAACAAACAAATACAAAACATAAGGACAATGTATTTACAACCCAGGAAAATAAAATTCTTTAAGAAATCAAATAAAGATGTTTTTCTTCTCTTTTTCTGGCATCTGAAATGTTTCTGATATCGTCTGGTGGTGATTAACTGATGAAGATGTCATGTTTGCCTCTTTATGAATTTTATAATTCTCATGTACGGAGCAGAACAAAGGATTTAGATTCATATTTTTTCACATCAATGTTTATAGCATCAGATGGATTTAGACATTAACTAGAAGTGCAAAAGAGAAACAAATGTTTCAAAGGCGCTGAATTCCCAGATAGACTTTAAGCCTAACCACTAGGGTGGGGAGGTGGCTCTGTGGGTAGAGTGTGTGCCGAGCAAGCAAGAGGACCTGAGATTTGGTCCCCTTGTAAATAGCCAAGGGCACATGTATAATCCTACCACTGGGAGGCAGAGACAAGAGGATCCCTGGGGCTCTTTGGCCAGCCAGTCTAACCTATTGGTGAGCTCAAAGTTCAGTGAGAGGCCCTATCTCCAAAGGAAACAAGTTGGAAAGTAATAGACGAAGATGCCCAGTGTGGACCTCTGGTCTCCCCAGAAACACATGAGTGGACATACACTCACATGCACTCGTGCATACACCACGCATACACACAGAAGAGAAGCTCAAAATTGAGAGTGGTGGTACATGCCCAGCACTCAGGAGGTGGAGACAGGAGGATGAAAAATTCAAGGTCATCCTTAGCTACATAGCAAGTTCAAACACAGCTTGAGCTACATGAGACCCTATCTTTAAAAAATGCCTAGCCATCCATTTAGTGAAAAATTTTTTATTACAATAAAATTTTTTATAAAACAAAGTAAAAACTCTTTAAAATAAGAGATAATTATTCAAAATAAGTGACTGGCATTGTTGGCATTGCATTTATTTACCTTTTAACAATAAAATCTCAAAAGTCGCAAAATGGAGACACAGGCTGTTATGATCCCTTGATTCATGGTCTGTGAATTACACTCTTTAAGAGATAATAGTCATTGAACATATATCCACTGTCTGGGATTTCTCTCTTTCAATACTGGTTTTCACCATCACTTTTAAATGATTGCTGCTTTGCTTTAAAAACTATCAAACCTGGGATCCAGATCTGAGGAAATGTCAGTCAGCTACTGAATGAGTGATTTAGCAAGCTAGCCCTGGAAGTGATAGTCCTTCAATAATTCCTTACATAAATTAGGCCCATTGCTGTCTATGCAATTACAGTGAACAAGCATGCCAACTTTTCTCTTGAATCAAGTACAGAATAAGTTCTGGTCTAAATAATGCAACTCTGTGCCCATGCCTTATTAAATAAAAAGCATATAAAGCATATTTAAAATTCAAAACAAAATGCATTCAAGAAAAATTGCTTTGGGATGTATTGATACATACAGCTCTAAAGGGCAAAACTGAGTCTCAAATCTTGAAGGACAGGCCTAAGTTAAAGTTATATCCCGCTGAGAACAAAAGTACCTGTTTTCTCACAGGTACCTGGGTCTCACACTAAGCCTCACATCAAGCTCAGAGTTAAATGAACAGTGTGACTAGTTGAGGCTGTGACTGAAGAGAACCCCACCACACTAAAAAAGGAACAGCATGCCTCAGAGGCAGAGCTCAGAGGGATGGGGAATATGTTCGTGCTTTTGTATTGTTGTGCCCACAGTACCTGGGAAAAAGATTTCTTTTGGTGCACAGTTTCAGAGGGTTCAGGGTTCAGTCCATTGTGATAAGGGAAGATATGGTGCCCCTACTTGATAGGACTCAGATCCAGGTGACCCCAGACCCAGAAATCATAAGGCCCCCAAGAGGAACTGAGTCAACCAACTCCCAGCCACCTGCAAGTTAACAAAAACAGCTCCAGGGAATTAATGACAATTGTATTGTGATCAGCAGAGTATGTTCCAGAGGCTGACAAACAGGCTTCCCAAGCCCTTAGTTTCAATTAATTCCAGGAACCCTGTACCTGTAGAAAACATGTTTTACAGCAGATGTTTTCCTCGATAAGTTTCACCAGGTACAGACCCCACGCCCTCCATGAGCAAGCAGCCCCCAAAACAGTCCAAAACAGCAGAAAAATATTCTCTTTTTCTGCATTCTGTCCCTTATAGGCTACCCCTCTGGAGCCATTAGGCTGCTGGTTCTTCCTCACACCGGAGTTGAGGACCAGCCCCACCAAACCCAATTAAACTCTAGCTTTGCCAGAGTCCTTTGTTTCTGTTTCCCTGTGATCCCAACCCCTGCCACCTTTTTATCTAACACTATTCACACACCCAAAGTTTCCAGAACCCCACACACTGGTACTACCAACAGGAACAAGCCTTCAAAGCATGAACCTGGTCGGGGATGGGAGGTCATTTCAGATAAGAGGGAAATGTCAGCCATGGGATGGCTGAAGGGAAATGCTAACTACTGGATACAACCCTGAATACAAGAAGGGGAGCATTTCCTTGTGCTCTACAGAAATCAGTTGCCCCAATGTGCTCATAAATCCAGTCACCTTCTACGCAGGCTGGCCATGCTGCACCTATTTTAGAAATAGAAGCAGGGAGAGTCCACTCAAAGCCAACTTACAAAATTTTGAAATAACTATTACATTTCTTCTTTCCTAAAATGAAAAGATGTGCATGTCTGTGTGTATGTGTCTGTGTGCGTACTTAATTATGTGCTGAACAGATGTGGTTAACATACTACATAATATCAAGTGGTGTTTAATTTTATAAAAGCAATTATTCTACAGGGCCAAGCTAGCTTTTTGAATAATGTAAAAAAAATTCCCTTTGATATTCCCCTTAAGCATGCCCTACATTCCAATGTTCAGATCCAGGTTTCAACTTAGTTTTTTAAGTTACCATGTTTGTAAAGACGTTTCAGAAAAGATCATAATGAAAATCCATCTTAGAACAGCAGTTATACTCTGGCTTTGTCATTGATTAGAATTCATAATTCGGTGGGAGTGGATTCAAACCAGCCATTCTTCACATAAAAGAAAATAAATGGTGTGGTTAACCATGTGTTTTATTTTCCGAGCTATGTCATCCCATAGACAAGTTTATGTTGGTTTTCTCTGTGCTCGCCCATGCTAAATGATCTATCAGAATATCTGCTACTAAACAAGTCTGAGGAAAGGCATCCTCTTCTATTTTTATCTTCTATCTTAGAAATAATGCTTTCAATGTATTACCTTTAGCAATAGCTAAATTATTATAACCAAACTGTCAAAAGTGATTGATGTTCTTTCTGCTTTCTCTAGTATCTAGGTCATCATAGACTGGGAGTAGAGGCTGACTACAGAAAGTTAGAATTTTTTGTTGGGATTTAAACTAAATTTACCAACGCCTAGATCACAGAGAATTTTTCTCTGCATGAGCTGTCAGCCAAAAAGCAATAGGATTATGTCACCCTGTAGTCCCTGCAACTCACGTGACTGGCCTGCCTCTTCTATCAGTCTCAAAGGAAGTCTGCCCTACAAAAGAATAATATGTGAATTTCTTAAATGCCTTCACTGACTGCAGAAATTTGGGGTGATTCAGAGATGATCCCTCTCCCTGCTCTGGGTTTCACAGGCAGGCTTCTCACATGCTATTTGGAAGAAAAAGTCAGCATAGAAGCCAAGGCCAGATGGGTGAAACCTTGGCAAAAAACAAAGCTAGGCTTCTGCCTTTGAGTGCTTGCCATCTTTACTCTGTTTCTCTCTCAGGATTTTTTTTTTTTTTTTGACAGTCATTAAGTACCCAGCTTCCAGGATCAGCTCTTAACAATCTGCCCCACTTTTGCCTCTCTCTCTACTCTCCTTTCTCCATTTACCAGAAAACCATTCAGCCAAAGGATTTCCATCATAAGCGTTCGTATATATTCACTGTGTGCTGTGCTGTGTGCTCAGTGCTTTAACTCATGAGTCCGTTTAGTATTCGTAATCACCACTGAGCAGATATGGATTAAGGTCTCCACTGCAGAGCACAAACACTGAGACCCAGAGAAGTCATATAACTGGACCAGAGATGCACAGCTAGTAACAACAGAGCCAGGATTCAAATCCAGGTCATTTTGACCTAACTAGCCAGTGCTTTGAGCTATTATCCAGAGCCTCCCAACAAAAGAGGAAGACAGCTTGTTAGTTTTAGAGATATCTGAGTGCTTGGATTTATACACTTAGCTCCCTGGAAGGTATGAGCTACATTTGTAGCAGGAAGCTTTGGGTGTTTTCATGCAGCTGAGAACACACACTGGACTAAGGAGACCAGAAAGAAGCCATGTGAGGTTATTTGGCCCCTGGGTGGCTTTTTACCATGCGTTTCTTCATCATTTCACAGTCATGAAGCCGCTCAGCTGTCCTGTCTCTCAGGTGCCTTAGATAGCACTAAAACCTCTCCATTTCCTCCTCCACATCACATCCCCTTCTCTGGTGCCAGGGAGGCTGGTTTGTAATCAACACCATTCCTGAAAATCTTGAACACTCCACTCACTTCCTGAAGCATAATGGTTTTTAATGCTCTGCCTGCCTTGAAGATTACACACTTGTCTAGACAGCCTTTAAGCTGCATCTTCAATCCTGAGCTCTGTGAGCTACTGAAAAATGTTTTAAAGAGATACTGGCTAATGCCTCCTGCCTGATCTTAGTACTGCCCCCCAAAAATGATGCTAGTAGTGGTGGTAATAGTGCTGATGATGGTAATGATTGGAGAGGAGGGCCACATACTTATCATTTCCTGCGTTTCAGACACCTAATATGAGTGCTTTACGTTTGATCTCCTCTAATCCCTCATATCATTCTCATAAGATTGCTACTGTTATCATCATACCCATTTTGCAGATGAAAAGCTCAACTCAAAGATGAAATAAGTTGCCTATGATTAACTAGTAACCACAAGAGCAGGGATTTGAGGACTGATGAAATGGCTTGATGGATAAGAGCACTGGTTGCTCTTGCAGAGGACCCAGGTTCAGTTCCTAGCACCTACATGGTGACTAACAACTGTCCATAACTCTAGTTCCAGGGGATCCAACACCCTCTTGTGACTTTTGTGGGCACTGCATACAC